TCCTACAAAGAAAATGAGTCTAATTTGAAGATTTATTGGCCGCATACTTTGTAAAAGAAGGAGCTGAGCCTGCATATCCTTTCAGGTTTTTTTGTTTGTTTGCTTGCTTGTTTGTTTGAGACAGGATCTGGCTCTGTCTCCAACACTGGAGTGCAGTGGTGCCGTCTCAGCTGGAGGCAAGCTCCATCTCCCAGGCTCAAGCCCTCTCATCCTAGTCTCCCGAGTAGTGGGGACTACAGGTGCATGCCATCACACCTGGCTAATTTTCACATTTTTTTTGTAAAGATGGGGTTTTGCCATGTTGCCCAGGCTGGTCTCAAACTAGTGGCTTCAAGAGATCTGCCCAGCTTGACCTCCCAAAGTATTAGGATGACAGGCATGAGCCACTGTGCCTGGCCCTTAATATTCATCTCTTACATGAATGAAAATACTAGACATACTTAGAAGTCAGTCCCAAATATGAGTATTTTGCGTTAGTAACTTAGGTATACTATTTTGTTTCTTGGGATAAAATATTATTAACTGTTGGCAGCTTAGGCCCAGAGATTACTTGCACATTTCAGAGTTTAAACAAAGACAACCCTTTTGAATTCACATATTTTCAGCAAGAGGAAAAACAATCAATGTTTAAGAAGATATTGAGAAATTTTATATAACCTGGGGTGAGCTCCATTTAATGACGACTAGTATTAGGCAGGAGAAAAATAATTATATTGCTTTGTTAAAATAAACATTCTTCTGGTTATGGCAAGTATAATTTAGCTCTAAAGAGTTTACTAACTCGAATGCGCTAATACTTTGGGAACATATTTAAAAATTCAGGAACATATTTTAAAAATAATAGTCTTTGCCTTTTCACATAGTGAAATAATCTAGGGATTGTGTCTGTATGATGAATACCTAACTAAAGGAAGTGAGAAGCATTTGTGTGTAATGGAACAAATCTTTTCCATTTTGGTTCTTTAGTCAAAACTTAAGGATGATAGCTTTTACATCTTAGACACATAATGAAATAAAGTATATTCCAGCATATTTTATGGTTTCTTAAATCTTTCCAGCTATTAAATCCATAAGAATAAGTGCTTCTCCATATTTTATTTATCTTTAAAATTTTCCATACAGCCACTGTACCTTGATTATTATTCAGCTAAACACAAAAACACAATTTTCAAATGAAGCCATCAGGCATGCTTAGTCAGGCCATAAACATTCAAACTCCTGAGCTAAAAAGTGTTTTTTCCTATAAAAACTGCTCTTTTTAGGTGAGGAAAACCCAAGTGCCCTTTGTCATGAGAGTCTTTCATTCAAAAGTGTTTGAACTTAACTGCATCTTTCCTGATTTGTGTTTAGAGGAGTTTGTCCTGCTGCAAGCATTTAGTCACTTGGTAACTGAGAAATCTCTTACAGCTTAAAAAATTAAACCCACCCACTTGTGATTTACTGTCAGATGTATTCTTTAAAAGTCAATGTCAGTGTATGTTCTCAGCCTACTTTTTGCTAACTTCTCAGGGCAGGTACCAATGTTGTCCAACCATAAGTGGAAGACACAGTCTGTTCCATGTAAAAGGAGAGGACTAAAAGCATTGAATCGAACATAGAACTAACATGTGCTTGATAGGAATGGAACAAAAGAGAAGCAAAGGGGACAGATGGGTTTGCAGCCTTTGATGGGGCCTCCTCCCATACTAGCCATGACATTTGCCCATTTGTTGAATGACTACCCTGTGGAAGCACTGAGCTGAGAGCTTTGCATACATTGTCTGAATAAATTTGAAGAGCAATCCTATGGGATAGATGGCATTCTCTCCATTTTATATGTTAAAAGCTTAGGTTCAGGAGTGTTAGGTCATTTTCCATGGCCATGCGGTGGGTGTCAGGTGAGTCCAACTGATAAACCAATGAGCAGTTGTTACTGAATCCCATTTCTTTTCGTTATGCTGTTGCTTGAAAGGCATAGCTAAGGCCTGGGGATTAGGCAGAGGGGGTGGGGGTGGGAACAGAAACTAGGAAACTAGGGGAAAAAATATCTACAAAAATGTGAGCTTCAGGAAGTCAAGAACCTTTTACCACAACTTCAGAACATGGAAAATTGCCCAATATAGACACTTCATAAATGTTTTTTTGCTGACTGAGAAGAACGGAGGGAGGGAGGGAGGGAGGGAGGGAGAGAGGGAAGGAGGGAAGGAGGGAAGAAAGGAAGGAAGGAAGCAAGGAAGGAAGGAAGGAGGGAAGGAAGGAAGGAAGGAAGAGGGAGGGAAGGGCTTTCTAATCAGCTGTTGAATATGAAATAGGCTAAATTAAAAGTGAGCAGTTCTTTTCTGCTTGTGTCTACTGTAGGCAGTCCATGGTTACTTTTGGGGGATGGTCTAGATCAGTTTTTCTTAAACTTGAATATGCATATTAGACCCTGGGAAATCTTAAGATGCAGATTCTAACTCAGTAGATGTGGGGTATTGCCCTAGATTATGCATCTCCAACAGGCTCTCATGGGGTGCTAATGCTGGCTTGCAGACCATATTGTGTTTCAGAGTATTCACAAAGAGTGTGAATGGACACTTTTTCTTTATTTTACTTGCTTTTCTGAATTTCTGTGGTTCTAGGACTTGGGATGGAATAAGATGAAAGAAGGTTTATGAGTGCTCCCATTTCAAATTCAAACCTTAAGGTAGACCTAAAATCAAAATGAGATGTTCATGCAGATATGAAATTGACTTGGGAAGGATCATAAGAGAGTTACTTTACAAGTAAACCGAACAAAAACCAACAGCAGAAATCTGCCATAAATAAAAAAGATGTAGCTTTTTCTTTCTAATTTTGTTCCAGTTCAAAAGAGAAGAGTTGGAACCTCCAGTGTGTTCTCTTAATTTCATTTGGGTCTTCTTATTAAAATGTTGCTTTAAGACCTAAGGAGTTCGTATGTGAAGGAAAAAAGAAAAAGTAAGCAAGCCTTGAGTTTTAAAATTAGCAAATGATAAAATATCACTTTGAGCAGTATGGATTAAACTTATAAACTCACCCATTTTCTTTACTACTCAGTCATTAAAACTTCATTATGCATTATTTCTGATATAGAAAATGATATAGACATACAATAGGGCATAATGATGAACTTCCATATAATTACTTCTTAATTTAAGAACTAAAACCAAAAAAGCTAAATTTCCCAGTGTAGGCCCCCTAAACACATCCTACTATCTCTCTGTGAGAGCTTTAAAATACCTTACAGTTGAAGTTTGTGGCCGGCTGCGGTGACTCACGCCTGTAATCCCAGCACTTTGAAAGGCCGAGGCAGATGGATCACAAGGTCAGGAGGTTGAGACCATTCTGGCTAACACAGTGAAACCCTGTCTCTACTAAAAATGCAAAAAAATTAGCCGGGCCTAGTGGTGGGTGCCTGTAGTCCCAGCTACTCGGGAGGCTGAGGCAGGAGAATTGCGTGAACTCGGGAGGCAGAGCTTGCAGTGAACTGAGATTGTGCCACTACACTCCAGCCTGGGCGACAGAGCGAGACTCTGTTCTCAAAAAAAAAAAAAAAAAAGTTGAGATTTATAATTTTCATACTTTTAAAAATATACTTAGTACATAATTAATAACAAATTAAATATTATTGTATTATACAGTATAATTATATATAAAATATAACATATAATGATTATATATTAAAATGTACTCTACATTTTAATGTAGTAAGTAGATTTTAAAAGGTCTGAAAATTATAAACCTCAACTGTGTTTTAAAACTTCACATAAATGGTATCTAACTGAATGTTTTAATTTACCTTTTTATGCACCATTGCTTGAGTCATCCCTGTTTATAAAAGTGGCCCATTTTCACAATTGTATAATATTCCATTTAACTTTATGCACTTCTATTTGAGACGATGTTCACATTTCATCTCTTTGTATGTTTTCACAAAATATGTGTAGGTTAAATATTTTATGTTTTAAATCAACAATTTAGAGATGTCCCATATCACTGAAGAACTCTGAGCTGGAATTCAAGTAGGTGCTACTCCTGATCCCACCAATTAATAGTTTTGGGGACAGTTGTCAACTCAGTTGCTTTATTAAAATCATTATCTATCAAATAGGCATATTTTTCATTTTTGGTAAATTATTATAAAGAATAATTGATATGACCATGGTTATAATATGCTACAATTTACAGAACTGATGGCAGTGTAATTTCATTATAAAAATTGGGCCATCTAGGAGGTGGGTGCCCTGTTTTTTACAGTAATGTGTTCTTGAGATTGTGGGATATGAATGAGTATTTAAAGGTGAAGTCCCGTGATACTTCAAGCATACTTACTGTTTAAAAACTTTCAGCTTAAAAACTCTTATTTAAAATCCAGCTTCTCCCTTCGTTTATCTTTAGGCTTCTCATTGATAAATATGGCTCTGGGGTGAGTGCCTTTACTTTTTCCGACCCCCTAGGTGGTGTTTATGGTCTTTTACCACAGTGTACCATTTTGTAAATAGCACTGTGATGGCTTAGAAAAGTGGAGAATGCCTCGGGGACAGGTATTTACCCAGACAAATTGAAATGGATAGTTGAGCACTTACCCAATTAATTTATTAAATGTGCTCAGTCAATCTGGATAAATCAAAGAAATGTGCTGTTGTCTTCCTTCATTGTCAGCAGGAGCTTGGCCTAAAGTATCTGAGATAATTACCTCAACTTTCTAATTCATCTTTGCCTTTGCAGACCTAGCCTAACTTTTCCCCTAGTGAGCAAACAAAATCATTCCCATCTCCTAAGAAACGTTTAAAACCCTTTAACTTATAGATGCTACTCTGTTGTACTTTCTACTGTGCTTTAACTTTTTGTTTCTGATACATACTTGGCCATATTTGATCTTCAGTTATGTAACACTTGAATAATATATGTATCACTTTTTACTTATATGAGGGATAATGTTTAAAGTAGATTTTATAATGGAGAGCCCTCTTTTAAGTTAAAAATACTAAGGGGGGAAAACCTTGATATTTGTTTTACAGATGGCAACTGAATGGAAGTGATATTGATACGAGTATGGAACATCGTTATAAGTTGAATGGAGGAAATCTTGTGGTTATTAACCCCAACAGAAATTGGGATACAGGAACTTACCAGTGTTTTGCAACAAATTCACTTGGAACAATTGTCAGCAGAGAAGCCAAGCTTCAGTTTGCCTGTAAGTTTATGTTCACATGTCTAGCAAATCCAACATTAGAAAATAGGTAACTTAATTTGTGTAGTTGTTTTGGATTTCAGAAATGACACGTGGATTTTATTAATTCAATAAATAGGCTGAGAAGGCGATTCAGTGTGATTTTTTGGACACTTTGTAGTGTTCAAATCAGAGCTTAAAGTGTGTGTGTGTGTGTCTGTGTGTGTATGTGTATGCAGGTGTACATGTGTGCATGTAGGAGTGTGTGTGTGTGTGTGTGTGTTCTGTTTTAGTATTTCACAAGGATTCTGTTTAGGGAACAGAGAAGAATTCAGTTGAGGATATTTTTATTAAGCAGCTACTGTGCGCATTGTACTGTGGAAAAAATGTGAAAGAATTGTCAGATATGGCCCTTGCTTTGGAAGAACATTTAGAAAATTCCATCTGATAAACCTGAAAATATTAAAGAACAAAGACTGTGAGAACAAGAAGAAATTAACATATGTGGTGACATGTTGTTGACTCCTCTGGGGTCTTGTCACAGATGACCTCACAGATTACCCTCAGCACAGCTCCCACTGAGGCCTGGGCTCTAGAAACCTTTTAACCAAATAACCATGTTATTTGGACCTGGGTGGACACATAGCTCAACCTGAGAAAGTCACATGCTTTCTCTAGAAAATTTGGACTTGGACCCACAGGCCCAATTTATATTTTATCTTTGCTTATTTTCTCTCTCTTTTTTTTTGTTTCTTTTCACTAGTCTCTCTATATTTTAGCTGTGTATTTTGTATATAATGCAAAGCATGATTACCTTGGTTCTAAGATTTCTTTTAGTTATTTACACCTAATAATTCTGAAATTGCAAAGCATGTGTTCTTATAATGAGATAGTATTCTTTCTGTTTTCCCCATAAAGTTTTTATTAAATTAATGATGGGTCATTTAATGCATGGCCTATTCTTTTGCTTTCTATTTTAATAATGGCAAGGATTGACTTTGCTTGTGCCATTATATTCTGTGTGTTCTGTTTTTCGTATTTATTTGTTCTTTCCTTTGTTTTATCTTTATTTTTGTTCTGCAGGCAAAATATTTTTTACTTGTATCTTCCCTGCATATTTTGAAAGCTATATGTGATGTTTATATTATACAACTAGTTACCCATAAGTTTACTAAACCACTTTGTATGTATTTCTCTAATAGTCAGAATTTATTTTTTGAAAGCTTCTCCATTGTAAACAAAGAGTTTAGCTTCCTTTTTCCTCTTGTGCTATGTTTTGCAGTCTTAGTGCAATTTCCATGGTTATTGATTTAAATTATGCTGTTTTAATGTATACAGAAATGTGTATATATATGTTTGTATATGTATAAATATATATGTATTAGTCTTCTCATAGATCATTGTGTATGTGCATATAGTTGTTAACCAGAATTTTGCCAAAATCTATGATGTATCTATGTTTTACCTGGTGTTAGTGCCAACTACCAGACCTCTTCTTATTTTTATATTCTAATTTTTTAAAATTTCTCAATAAATTTTAAAATATTTGTAACATTTACTATGTTACATTAAGAAAATTCAAGTATGTTTCATGCTTTTTCATTTTAAGGAATGTCATCATATTCCCTTAAATGTAAGGACATCATTTGGTTGATAATAAATGTTGAGTCTTGGAGCTGTTTAACAGAGAATTCCAAGTGTTTTGCTCTGTTGTCTTCTGAAATTAGTGCTACTGAAGAGAGGAAGGTGGCCAGGCTAATTTCTGGCTTTGGGGAGCTTACCATCACCCCTCGTATTTTGGGGTTCACTTGGTTGTATATAGGAGGATTATTTTTTCTTCCTCTTTTTAGTTTAAAACATACAGATTTCCAGCATATAGCTAAGTTTAGGTTATTTTAATTTACTTTGCTTAGAACTTGAAAAATTCTTTTTTTGTACTTATACATTTTGTATACAGTTCAGGAGAGTTTCCTTTTATATATTTTAGCTTTATGTTCAATTTATATTTTCAAATGGCATGATCATTTATGTTGGATTTCTTTTTTTGTGTCCCATTCTTTGAAATTCTTTTCATCTCAGACTGTTCTTTCCTATGACTTCCTGTTCCTGATTCATAGGTACCACATCTTTTTGTATTCTTTTGAAGGTACAGTCAGTTTTCTGAATTGCTATTTTAGCTCTTAGAGGCAGGGTTTCCTCCACCGCTTCCATTTGGTGTTTCCATTTTTATGCTTAAGTAGGTTCAATAGGTCCTAAAACAAATCGTGTCTAAACTCAGTCTTTGTCTACAAGATGGTGTTGGTGGACTACCCAGGCCCTGCAGTCTTCGCCCTGTGAAAAGTGGGAATGAGCAATTCCCAGCCTAATTCCTTGTTTCTAAGAGTCATTCCTCTAATAAAATGATACATACGTTCCTCTAGTGATGTTTTTCTACTATGGTTTCTTCATTTCATACCTGATAACATATGAAGAAATATAATTAACTTACAGGTATTTCCTCAGTCAGCCCCTCTTGAAAAGTATGACTTGTATGAGAAAAAAAAAAGTATGACTTAGTGTATGAGAAAATACCTCTAAAATTATCTTGCACCTCTTGCAGTCTGCCCTAGTTCCTGGCCCCCACTTTATAGAGGCAGAGTGGGGTGAAGTTGTTGAATGAGGGATGGGATTTTACTCTACTTAGGAGCTAATAAGCTAATCTGTTACTGTTTCATGGATGCTGGAAGAAGACATGAGACTACCAGGTCAGTGACTAAGGACTTTATTATTCTTAGAACATAAAGCATCAGTAGGTATAGCATGTTTGATTGAGTTCCCCTTAACTCCAAGTCCCACAGAGAGATGCAATAAGGCTAGAGTAGATACTGCACCCATCTGTGAGAAACATTGGGCTTAGAAAATTCATCTCTTTTACAGCAAACAGTAAGCAAGCCAGGTCCTTGTCCTAGAGGGAGACATTACCTTATCCCTCCAGGTTACTTTCTGCAAACACATCCCTGAGATGAGGACATGACAATGAGCAGTTAGACCATTCATTCCTTCTTGGCACACCCAGCAAAAACTTGCAAGAGAGCCCACAGCACATGGCAGGTTGCCTCTCCCAACAGAAATTATTCATTTTTTTTGTTTGGTACTGTCCTTGAGTTTCTGAGTTGGGGTGCATCATGTGAAGATACATAAGGTGAGTGAAGTACAAACTATTTTCCTACTTTTATTATAATTCTCCCTTTCATAAAGCAAACCTAAGATGTAACATTGAATACCTTGGGTTTCCCCTCAGTCTGTCCCCCTCTGCTTTACAAGTTTTATTTATTCCCCATATATTGACATTTAATTGCTTAGCTGTGTTGCTGTACAGTGAAATTATATTTTTTGTTTTATTCGGCACTTTTGGTGTTTTTCTAAGTGTTTTATTTGGAAGTTACAAGAACAACATTGGGTATTCCTCACCTGACACCACAATGGACTGGAAAGATAAAAAATATGTTTTAATATTCATGTGGTTGGGACATAGATTTCTGATAAAGAAACCACAGAAGATGGCAAAAGAAGTAGAAGATATTTAATACATCAGTAATTCCAAATTATTAGCTACAGTAGAACATTGCTTTAACTTCATAGCCTTGAAGAAAAAGTAATACGCTAACTGAAAGAAGAGATTAGAATGGAGACCCTTGTATTGTATTAGTAGGATGCTCATGACTTCAGAGGAATCTTAACTGTCTTTGCTGCAGGCAAATGGATGTTCAAGTGCTGTCATTGAAAAATGTTCTCTCTAATTGTTCAATTTAGCTGTGTCTCCTCTCTTGACTATGTTGTATGTTTGTATGATTAGCCGTAACTTCTTTGTTTCTCTTAGCTGTGGAGAAAGTACTTCTGTGTCCTTCATGGATAAATGAGTAAATGAAAATATGGTTGATGCTCCACTTTTAACACTAGTGAAAAACTAAAGAAATTGTATCTTAATTTTCCAGTTGCTTGAAAATAGTGGTTGTGATAAAATGAAAGTGAAAAGGCCATACATCTGATATGTTTACCCTAGATTTTATAGATTCCTTTTACCAGATAATTATCAGCTAGTTTACTTTTTATAATGAATTATTTATTATTTTAAATTATTTTCTTAGTTTTACTGGGATAGTGGTGCTGTCTTTCTCCTTTATTCTGTTAATATGGTGAACATTTATTAGTATTAAGTGACCTTCTGTTCCTGGGTTAGTTTCAACTTGGTGTTTATGCAGTTTTAAAAAATACTTCGTTGTTAGCTGTTTGCTGATATTTTCTGTGGTACTTTTGCCTATTTATCCTTTTCTGGCTATCCTTTTTTGGCTTTGCTTTCAAAGTTATTTTCACCTCTAAAAGTGACCTGGCGATTATTCCTTATTTTTTCTATTCACTTGAAAACGTTGAGAAATAGTGGAATTATCTTTTCCTTGAAAAAGATGTATAACTTAGGCTTGGAGTTTCCTTTGATGAAACGTTTTAACTATTGGTTGAATGTATTGAGTACTTATAGGACTAATCATACTATTTCTTTGTGATAAGTTATATTTTTTCCAGGAATTTTATCTATTTCATTTATGTTTTCTAATATATTGGTAAAAATGTTTCAAATGTTTTAAAGTTATTTTTCTCATTTCTGCTTTATCTAGACATATATTTAATGTTCCTTTATAAATATCATCTTGGTACAGTTTTAAAATATAATTTGTTAGAATTTGATGTTATTATTCCTCATTTTCAAATTTCTACACTCTATTGCATTCATTTTTCTCTTATCTTTATTGTTCTTCCAAAGTTCTGATATTTTTTATCATTCTTTTCTAATTATTTAACTTGTATGGTTAACTTATTGTTTTCTGTACTTTATTCTCTTCTGATATAAATTTATATGGTTTTAAATTTCCCTGAAAGTACAGTTTTAGCTGTATTCAAAGATTAGACATACAGCATATTTGTTATGTTTCAGTTCAGTAAATGTTATAATTTCATTATGATTTTCTTTGATTTATGAGTTATGAGAT